TTTGGTTTGTACCTGCTATTGGCTTTGGAAAGAATACGCCTTCACTGAAATCAGATAGTATATCATCCAATTTCATCTTGAATACACGACATTCAATGTCTGGCTGGTCGAACGCAGAATCACCGCCATAAGCATTAAGGTGATCAGTTATCTCTTGCCATTTTGGATTTGCTGTCATGGTTACAAATGACCTCTTGATGTTGTTCCTCTCTTCTATATACGAGATTTCTTCATTGAAGCCATACTGGCCATATGGAAATAACAACGGTTGCAGACTCATAAACAACGGATGGAGATCACTTATTCGATGCAATCGGCTTGATGCCTTCAGCTCTAAAACAACATCTCGCTCGCCAGTCGTTGTTGACATGTCACCGACGATCAACCCTGCAATCTCCTCACTGATTGGCAGTTCGTATTGCTTACCACGCCTTTTCTGCTCAACAATAGTGATTCTAAAATCTTGAATGTCTCCTGATTCATAGCGGTCTCTTGCTTTTCTAAAGATCTTTGCTAGACAATTGAAATCGCCCATCATCTGAATAAGACCGGCTACAATTTTCCCATCTAATTCTCCAGCAGTCGATGTCCGACTCAGTGTACTCAAACGATTGCGAACTTCATTTGCAGTATCATATATATAAAGCTGTGCAAACTGGGGTGGCTTCCCTTCCACTGGTAGTAAAGATCCTATTTGGTGGTGGTTCTGCCCGTGGATTCTAAACGCATATGGACCATTCCCTGATGTTACCGAGTGATCTATTTTTGCACCAATTGATGTGAATGCAAGCATTGAATTGTACGCTCTTATATTTGTACGAAATGCAGTAGAGTGTTTGTATAGCTCATCAAGGAATTCGGGAGGATCAGGCACTGGTGGTAGTTTGACTCTGCCTTGCATACAACATATGTTATACAAAAAAGTCCCTTTGCGTCCCTCCCGGCGAATACTCTCTTTTTGCCAGACTAATGCATCACAATTTGGACAATGTAGGAGATCACCATTGGTAGAACATGTTTGAGCGTTTTTTCTTGTATTATGCATATATTGCTTTGAAATAATATATATGTAATACAATAATTTATGACTAATGGTATTTGTCTTGCTATTAAGGTTGTGGTTATTGAATTTGTTGTTGTCCATTCCCCGTTATCAGCGAGATATATTTTGTAGTTATGTGCAACTCTATTAGTAAAATTAGGATGGGAACATTTTCCCACCAGCTGAGTAAATGTATTTTAGCGAGAATATTCGTGTTATATTATTTTAAATCTATTTTTATATACAATGATTATTTGTTTAATTTATACCTTAAAAATATATTTCTCAAGTTTTTTTATGTTTTCTACGGTGGAATGTGTTGTAATTATCTGTGATTTTAAAATGCGGAGTAAATTTTATTGATTCATTTGTGTGTTGTTTTGTATATTAATTTTTATGTCTACAATTCTTTTGAACATAAGTGGAATAAACACGTAAATTTCATACTTTTTGCGCGACGGAGTGCATGCTTGGCTAATATGGTCGCTCGTCTTATAGTGCGATTCTTTGCACATTGTACTGCAAATGAAGTTAGACAATTTTAATTAAAAAATCATTAAAAAATCATTCAATTAATAGGTTATGCATAATTTTGTAATTTTTTTTTGACTTTAATGCACAATCTTATATATATATATATATACACTATATTTTTACCCTTTCTTTCCGTAATGGCAGCAGATTCTTGTATAACTTTATTGATTGACCGATATTTCTCAGCAAGTCATAGACGTTGATTAATATAATCCCCCCAAAAACCTATAATTGGGAAAAATAAACTAAAAAATTGGAATAACAACTATTTATAATAATGTCGGAAACATAAGTTGCCGGTATAAATGGTAAATAATATTTGGAATTAGACCATACCTTCTTTGACGCTATCTATTTCTGCACGGTTGTGTGTCGTATTTGTTCTGGGTTTGCGCATCTTGGCAATAGTCAAACTACGAATTTTATACATTTAAATTTCGAAAGTACTTAGGAATTGTTACAAATTGAAAACAATTCTAATGCTGTAATATAAACCATGTTTTATCTCTTAGGGTTAAACCAATACAGCAAATATGCGATATATAATTAGATGAAATTATATATAAGTGTTTTCAAAGTTCACGATCTTGCTTATCCATATAGTTACGCAACAAAGTTTCTTATTAAATACTTTATACAATTTATAAAATAAAATTCTCGAAACTATTGATACAATCTATAATGGATAGTATTGTTATATAAATTCAAATACCAAAAATACATACAAATGAGAATGTATAAACATATGAAAATAATTTTTTTTAAAAAAAATGAAATTGTCAAACATTCAAATGATTATTGCGAGGCTTGATTAAATAATTTCTTTACGGCTATATTAAATTTTGAATGCTAAAATGTGGAAGATTCTTTGTATCTGCGGATATAGTTATTGGTTACAGTATTAATGTATTTTGGAAATTAAAATGTTTATTATTTACAGATATATTTTAATAATAAATTATGTACGTCACGATATTTTTTTTAAATTGGATTGTGTAATAATTTAAAAACATTTCCAGATCACCATTTCGCGTTAAAAGTTTCAAATGTTTCGGAGTTTGTTTGACAAAAGTACACACCGTCCGTCTACGCGTATTACGGGGATTTTGGTAAATTTCATTTTTAAAATATGCGTCACACTTTTAAAACTCCTAAACTTTTCATTTCCAAAACTGAATTGCATAACGTGTTTTTTAATTCCATTTCGTATTTGAATAATTGAATTTTGAAATTTGTACATATTCAAGTAGTGCGTTCATTACCACCATAACAAAATTATAAAAACAGAGCAAAATATGCGTTGATATGGTTATATTATATATATACGTATAAGATGTTGGGATTTACATTATAGTGGGTTTGGCATTTTAGATTTATGCAATAATTTATGAGATGTTATATGTTATTGGTAGGGATATGAAATAGGCCAAAACATTTTAAAATGTGAGGAGACACGAAATCAATCATATTCGTCGGTATTGTAGAATATTTCTGTTTTTTCATAATATTATTCTTGGTTGAACCCTTTTTTCAAATGGAGGTGATAAATCAAATAGAAGTTCATATTTTAAAAAAAAACATTATAGAAGTCCATATAACAAACCGGCTAAGGCTACCTAAAATTTTTAATAGATTGTATTCTATTATTTCTTTTCAAAGGGAACATCCCAATAGGCCAATACAATTGGAACCTGTAATTGTTATTATTAATATACAATCGGAACTCTCCCTAAATAACATTTGTGATATACCAAAAAAAGTACAGCTGTTTCGATGGAAGTAAGAACTGAAATTGATGTGAATTTCCAAACTAACCTGGGGGTAAGAGAGATATGAGGATTCCAAATGGCACCCAAACTGGGGAAGTGTTTTTGAATTGTTTGTAAATATTTTGTTTGTCGAAACTTTGAACAAAGGACATGAGAAATGGTTTTGGTGTACTTATAAATAATAAGTGTGTGTAATAAATAATAATCATGATTTATTATTATTCTAATTGTTTTTATGTGATTGCAACAATTTAGGAGTTTGTTTGATTGGATTGAGGAGTGTATTTGTCTTCGGGATATGTAACCTCCAAGCAGCATTATAATTGAGTAACGTTATTTTATTCAAAGTAATTATGTCTCATTTTAATACACATTATTGCTGTCAATTGTAGCCAGCATTATAATTGAGTAACGTTATTTTATTCAAAGTAATTATGTCTCATTTTAATCCACATTATTGCTGTCAATTGGAGCCAACATAAATGTCGTAAAATTTATGAGTGCGTTACCCCATTTTACCAGAGTGAGCCGTGGTGACATATAGACGCTGTTACTACAGTACTGAAGCTGGTTGGCCGTAGGCGATGAGGATTCATATTTTTGGTGTTAGATTTACTTTTGTCATTTTTGGAATTCTCTTTCTCTCCAATTAGAAAACAAAAGTTATATACATATTTAAACACATAATATGTAAATTACATACACGTATCTCTAATATGTGCATAATTACATACATATATGGTGTTCTTGGTGGTTATGTACACCACTTCCGTGGTTGTGTAGTATTCACTTACTTGCTTGGTTGTGATCGCGCTTCAGATTTGGTTATAGCAAATGGTTTTTATTCATTATGTTGGTTATAGGACCTGGAGAAATGAGTAAAAGTGGTTGCCAAGGAGAAGGCGGTATGTGATGGATGATGAGTTGTTCTCCATTTTATATATTGCAGCTTGCGAACTAAGTTTCTAAACCCTGATGTTAATTCTGGGTTATAGGAGAAAGACACCAACCCTTTGTGGAGTGATTCGTTTGATATTGCTAATGGAAATGATAATTGAGTTGATTGTGTTGGTTGCCAATGCAGGGTTCTCAGTATCAGTTAGGCCACTTTTGTTTGAGGGTTGCCAAAGTATAGCCAATTACGTCCGAGAACTTGAAAGTAATTGGTAGTGGTACTTGATTCGTCATAATCTTGATAGAAATAAAAAGAAGCAGTGAAATTCAAACAGAATATAGGAATCCAAAAAGGGAAAATAGAAAAGACAGAAATTATAACTTTGAAATGGAGTTCGAATATTAAAAAGGGTTTTGGAAATGATATTTTTATTTGTGACGCGGTTTTTTCCCCAGCCTCTTTACATTCTGAGCTTGCGCTAACTCATGTGAGACCTCATTTGTATTGTCCTGCAATAATAGACATTATATTTTACATATGGTTATCAATACATTTTGTAAACAAAGATTTATGTTAAGTACCTTTGTGGCATCTGTATCTTTGGGTATGTTATCTTTGGATCCCGATGCATCGTCAAATATACGGGACACAGTGAACGAATGATGCTTAGTCGTGAAATTATACGGTGTCACTTTGATTTGGAAAGTCATTTGTTTACCGATAATAGGTGTAAAACACTTTGGTATATCGCCAATTTTCCCTTCCACATCGACATTAAGCACCTATTTTTTTTTAAAAAAAAAATTCATAGACAAAAATTAAAATAATATTCATTGTTAAAAATAGTTATGGGGAAAACTAATAAACCCATAAATGACGGAGAAATTTGGAAAATGAAGAATAACTTACATTTGGTTCAATTGATTCTGAAGCACGAATGTTAAGTAGTTTAGTCATTTCTCTATCGAACACAGTGAAAAACGCTACATCTTTTCCATCTTGCACAACTAATTCAACCCGGAATCTTAAAAGATAAAATTTGTTGGAAATCCAATTATGTTAATCATTGATATAAAAGGATAACGTTGCAATGAGATAGGGGAAAAAGTTTAGGGATACCTCAACACTCTGACTGCGTTGGTATCGTGGCAATAGTTGCAAACCATTGATGTCGATACTTTCGCTAATTTTCTAGAACACTTACCACAAGCGATATAGGTCCATCCATTTTTAAGGAAAACTTCAATAATTGTGGCTTTGCATAAAAAATCCGCTTCCTATATTAGGGTCAAAAAGAGATTATGTTTTTTCATAATTACATGTATATATTTAGATTATTAAAATAAGAGTGTAATAAGTTCAAATGTTTATTATGATTTTTTATTTGAATTGAGTTTTATCATACCTGACTTTTGGACAATGTTATGAAATCGCACAATTCTGATATAGAAATCGATCTCCATCTTCATTACCGTATGAACGGGCTGCTCAATCTGTAGTGCTTCATCTATATTGTCTTTAAACCTATTTTAAAATATTACGACATAATTTATAAAAACTAATTAAAATACATTCATAGTGATAAAAAAATATAGAATTTAAGACATACATGCTAAGAATGTTTTGCTTGCATCAAAAAACGGTGGGCTATTCGAACGTCATATTAATTACTCCACGACTTCATCCTATTTACTATTTGCTATTTCTCTAATTAGTTTCAATTTGTTGATTTTGTTAAATTCACTTTTCTAATTAATTTGTTGATTTTCCTAATTAATTTCTTACGCTCAAACATGGTATTGTTATATAACATCATCCTCTATAACAGAAGCGGATAAATTTGTGCCCACAAGGAGATACATGCTAGAGGCTATCACTTCCGGCAAGCCAGTAGTCACGACCCTGTGCCTCGAGAGTATTGAACAATTATATTGGTTTTAACATGAGTGTTTATTTGGCATGAGAACGTCATCATCCACTTCATAAGAACGATTTTTCAGTTTCCAGTTATTGGTTACGGTTAGTCATTAAACTGGAATGGTTACATATTTTTATGTTCAGACCATCCATGGATAAAAGATGGAGGAGATGCACCGGATAATCTTATCGATAATGTATGTTTTTGCAAATGAATCAACTCAAAGCTAGGAACAAGCTCAAAAAACTTGCATTGAAAGTGACTAATGATCAATCATTCCCTCTATAATAATATAAAATTTGGATGTGGAATATAGAGTAGATATGTGCAAATATACGCAATAGTTTATCTCGCAAATTTGAGTACTGTAATATATTGTATGGTAATTGTAATTTTCATCCCCGAGAGAAACCATGTTTTTGGCATAATCTTAAAAAAGGTCTTTATAAAATATTACCTCCGACAAATTTAGGATTTATATTAGTCACCAAAATCACTCTTGGTTGTTTAGATGTGTTCTCCAGTTTGAGACGGAATTCAGCGGCTTTCGTCTCCCATGCAGTCATACGAATGTCTTGGTAACTATAACAATTAAACAAACACTTTTGAAAATAAAAAATGGCGAAAAGAAATATAACATTTGTTAGAATAATATTTTAACATTGGAAGTAAGAAAAATATAAATATATATACCTTTGTAGGTCAACAACAACTCTTTGCTTGGATAACAAATGATCGTTGTTAGTATCTCTTATACGTTGGACTCGACCAATAACATCTTTGGTAACAAAATAAAATTAAAAAAAAATTAGTATCTTAGAAGACATACTTTTTGGAAAAATGAAAAATAAAAATAATCAACAAAGTTAATATGTCTATTCACCTGGTAATTCTTCATTTTTGTTAGCCAACGCAATAAGTTCATCGTAAGCACGAAACCTAAAAAACTTCTGATATATTAGTTCGTTCCGTGAAACGAATAGATAGTTTGAAATCAGTAAGCTTGAATAGATCGTTAGCCCTAACAACGGCAAAATCGGTTAGAAGATAAATAGCTCCTTCACATAACACGTCTTTGTAGCGACTCAAAAGATGGCGACCAATAGATCCTTGTGCAACAGTAGACTATAAGGGGAAAAAAGAAAGTGATAAGTAAATTTTTTTTGGAATAAGCATAGACATTTGTGATCATAAGAAACCTATAAATTTTGAAAACAATGCAATGAGGTTCGGTATACCTTTTCGTCAATGAGTAGAAAATCTACACTCATGAGTTCATCACCTTTTTTGACATTTCGAGCTTCCCAAAATCGTAATAAACGGCCAATTATTCGCTGCATTGGTCGACCGATCCGTAAATCACCGAACGTGACACATGGGGGAAGAGTGTCAAATCCAAATGGAGCCATTAGCGGTATAAAAGCAAATATAGAGGTGCTGTGTTTCAACGTTCGTGCAAATGGGAGTATTTCCTAGTAAACATGAAGGAGTTTATAATGGAGCATATTTCAAATTGCTACGGGAAACATTAAAATAAGACAAATATTTTGTAACTTCCCCTCCAAATAATTGAATAAGGGGACACGAATGGTCTCTAATTGGTGTTAAGCACTTCCCCACTTTGTGGATGTATGAATAATTGGTGTTAAGCGTTATTACCTTTAGTTGTATGGTAACCTTCACGTATTCCTGGTTTTAATACACATTTTAGTGGTGTTATTATTGCGGTGTTATTATTGCAGGAGTTATACACATATTAGTGGTAGTTATACTAACTTTTATACCTTTACAAATTCTCTTTTTAATCCCATTTAAAAACAAACATGCGTGCATATTTATACACATAAAATATATACAATTATGTGTACACAATCACATACACGGTTATGTATATATATAAGCATACATATATACATATATACTTATAAAGTTGTACCGTTTATTTTTTAAACTATATATTATGTGGGTGAAATTTATTAGGAAGTTACAAATTTAACTGTTATAATCTAAAGGCAAAACATATCTACATAATATATATCAAATATCATACATGTATACATACTATGTATACATACACACGTATGGATATATACATAATTAATTTGTATATGCAAAACATATGATAATCTGACGACTCAATTTTTGGTATCTTATTGTATATATATACACACATATATACAATAGTTCACATGTATATATATATATATGTGCATATATATTACATATATATATTCATACACATTGACATATACATTACAAACAGACATAATTTTTTGTGTATTCAAAAATTTAAGTGACATACACATGCAATATATATATACACACGTATGGATTTTCTATCTTTCATATACGTGCTATATAAATTTAAGTGTACATGTCACACCAAACTCATACACATGCTATATATGAGGTGGATGATGTAATTAAATGTTTATATAATGAAAATTATTGATAACCAATCAAGATCTCAAAAACTTCCACCTAGGATGCTTAGGTGGCTTCACCACAATCCTTTAAACACAATTATTAATATATATAGATTTTACATCACATTTTATATACCTATGTTATTTCTCGAGTCAATGACACAAAGTGAAAACCCCACACCAACGAAAAAAAAAAATCTCAATGTTTTGATGTTCATATTATTGAACATTAAAAAAAAAACCATCAAAATTCCCAAACTCATATTTTTTTTTCCAAAAAAAAAGAGAACTCTACAAGGAATCGATCAGTTTTTTTTTTTTTAAAAATTTTATTTTGTCGGAGACTGCAAATTGAACAAAGCCTTAGCAGTCATCTCTCTCTCGAACCTCCAAATGTAATTCAACCCGACAAGAAGCTCTGTTATCGCAGCCTCTGTCTTCGCTCTGTCCGCGAAGAACAGAGTCTGCAACAACATCACATTCACTTGCTGGTTTTTCTGAATCTGAATCTGATGATTACTGTTCGTCGTCTTCTCCACCACCAGATTCTGCTGCTCGAAGCTCCTCTCGCTCTGCCACCGAATCATGTTTTGGGCCATCGGCAAAAGCCATCCCAGTATCCTCCCCGCCGCCGATTTCCACTCCGCCGCCAGCTCGGCGTCCGTCGCCGCGAACCCGACCCCTCTCAGCCGTGACCTCAGCGATGTCCGTACACTTTCCGGTAGCATTCCGTACAGGTCGTCTCTTGCATCGAGACCCACCAACTGTGGCTGCTTTATCATCTTCTCCATCACGACAATCAAGTTGGCGTAGTGCAGAGCAAGAGCAGAACCTCCGAGAGTCGTCTCCGGTGGCTTCAGGAGCTTCGAGATCGCCTCGAAGAACAACGACGCCGTTTTAGGGTTTCCCCCTTTTTCCGGCGCCGGAACGGCGTCGTTTGGGGTCGGGTGAATCAGAGTCGAGGAAGAAGACGACGAGGAGAGAGACCGAGGGACAGAGGTGGGACCCACGAAGCCGATTGCGACGGCGGAAAAAGCGGATTTGAGCCTCGCCAGAGAGGTGAAGACCGATCTGACGAGGATCACGACGACGGCGTCGAAGCTCTTGTTCCAGAGAGATCTGTCTTTGAGGTACTTCACTTGTTGTCTCTGCCATTGGATCTTCTGTTGCAGATCCATCAGTTTCTGCAGATCCTTGTTACTGTTGTTGTCGTTCTCTTTGTCGGCAACGAGGATCAGTTGCTTACTGTATTTCTTGAAAGCGTTCTCCAGCATTGTCAGCTCCTCCAGCTCTCTGTACAGCGCCGTCGTCACGTTCACGTATCTGTTTCCATTGAAGATCCACAAAATATGAACCTTTTATACACGATACAACAAGTATCCAAATCATTAGACCATCGATCTTGTTTGAAGTTTGAAACTTCTCAATCTATCTATCCCAAATTTGAAAACTTTTTACTCGAATGATACGATGACTCCCGCGGATGATCAGATCTTGTTCAAAGTTTGAAACTTTTCAATCCAACGTTTACAAATTCGAAAACTTTCTGCATCTTTCTAATGATTGTTGAATTGTATGTAACGGTAATTGCTGATCTACCTTTCCAACTTCTTGTTATTGGCTTCCATGTCCTTGCAGCTCATGGCCCAGCCATGTGGGTCACGACCCATGTCGGCAAACTCGTAGAAGAGCTTCTCGAAGGAGCAGAGGCTCGCAGTGACGCAGCGGCGGCTCAGCCGTGACACGGCCATGGCGGCATGGCCGAGGCTCTCGGCGAGCTCGGCGCACGCCAGGCTCATCAAGAACGTCTCGTCGCCAGACACGATCTTTCGGACGCCTTCGAGAGAGATGGATTGGTCCCGGATACTGACGACGTTGCTGTCGGAGAGAGAGTGCGAGAGATGGAGGAGCTTCGTCATGAGACGAGCAACTTCGAACGACAAAACCCCGACGACGGTGGAGGAGGCAGCGACGGCGGCGGAGTTGATCGCCGGCGGAGAAGATCGGGTTGTTTTGGAGGAAGGTTTTGGAAAGATGGCGGATTTGAGTTTCACGAGGACTGTTTTGAGAGCCATTAATGGGGAGAAGAAGAAGAAGAAGAAGCAGGAGGAAGAAGAAGAATGGAAACGAAGATTAATGATTGAAGAGAAGAGATAATGGAGAAGGAGAGAGGTATAAATTATAATATAAAGAGGATGAACGAAATAAAAATTAAAGCGAATGTGTGTGTATGGCTCGTGGGGTGTTCGAGCCATCATTACACTTTGGATTATTTTATTTAAAATTTGTTATGAATAATATTATCTTTTTTTTGTTTTGGCTTTACATATTTAATGGTCAAAAGGAACGAAGGTGCGTGTGGCAAAAAGAGAGGGTACGAGAGAATATTGTGCACTAAATTAAATGAACATTTCATTATTAAAATATTCTCATAGAGCCATAGATTTAGAACAGAGATTTATTTTATAAAATAAAAAATTTTGAATTTATTGTATTAAAATAGTTAATTGAGTTATATGTAGTCCATTTCATATAATTAAATTTGAATTAAATTAAGTGTTGAGTGATGAAATTATAGGGCAGTTTGCAATGGTGAAAAACTAACTTAAAAATATAATTTTAAAAAACAATCTTTTTTATTATTAAATAGTTATATTTGGACTTTTACAGTACAAGATTTTTAATATATACGTTTACAATGTCAAAAAATACTTCTACACTCAAAGTCCATTTTCAAACTCAAAACTTTTAAAAAAGATAATTTTTTTATCAAAATCAGTTAAAATTATTCAAATCACAAATATCAATTTCTTCTCTTCGCTGTGAAATATAATCACAAGTTGTATGAGAGAACAAGAAAGCTGTAAAAATGGCATGGCCCTAATCATAATGAGGATTACAACTTTTTTTTTTTAGTATACAATAGTTTTTTTTTTTTACCAAGGGGGAAAAAGGGGGCATGTGCATGCGAGTGCCCAACAATTGAAAGGCAAAAAAAATGTGTGCAGAGAAGTGTTGTCGCCAAATGAAGAGGCAAATCTACTCAACATTTCCATGCGCCCATAGCCTCTCTCTCTCTCTCTCTCTCTCTCTCT